GATGTAGCTCAGTTTTGTCTGTCTCGCAAGCGCAAGATCCTGAGTTTGATTCTCAGTAAGGGGGGAGGGGCATATGATTCTGATTACAGAATTGTGCTGGGGAGGGGAGGCTGCTACTGTAGGCAATGAAGACCAAGGCAATTTGGAGATTTTAAATTCTCAGTCCAAATGCCACTATCACCTTTCCCAACCACTGCCCTTACTTGAACGTAAGAGCTAGTGGGACTGGGAATTTCTGCAGCCCTTACAACCTTGGGTTTGTCTCAGAAATGAAACCAGAGGCCAATCCAAAGATGCTATGGAGGCTCTCTAGCTCTTATTTCTATGTTCATAATTTTTCTCTCTTCATACCTTTCTCCAGGGCTGTCACAGGTGAGATGGATGTCTGCTGATGATGTACCACAGCCATTTGGTCTATCAAGGTCTTGCCCTCCAACTGCACTTCATCCCATGCTAATTACAGTGAGTTTTACTTGTGGTACCACATCATATACCATAAGCTACTCCTGTCCCATTACCCCTACCCTCAAAATAACATGGGCCCTGTCCTCTTCAAATACATGTGCCATCTATTCCCAGAATACCCCCACCCCAGGACTGGGGACTAAACTCAAGAGCCTTCACACTGAGCGTTTTTTTTTTTTTAAACTTTCTCTCACTAAATCACTGAGTTGCCCAGGCAAGGCTCAAATTTGCAGTCCTCCTGTCTCAATCTCCTAGAGCACTGGGGTTACAGGCATGCACCGCCAACCCTAACCCAGAATACAATTTGGAGGGAGTTTAGCGTCATTTCTGATACCTATTACTGTAGCAGTCACAACGCTGAAAGATGCCACATTCAAATCACAACTTGAGGGTACAATGGTAATTTTAGGTGTCAACCTGACTATATTTTTTTTTGGTTTTTTTTTTTGGTACCAGGGATCGAACTCGGGTCCTTGCGCTTGCGCAGCAGGCGGCGAAACCGCTGAGCTAAATCCCCGGCCCTAACCTGACTATATTAACATATTCCCGCAGGCTTGAACCACCAGTGGTACATGCATGACTGTCGAGCAGTTCATACCACCAGATGGGACTGTCCCATGCCACCCAGTATGACAATCATGTATGTACTACCAATGAGTCAAGCCAGCAGGAACATAACATATTCAAATCAGAGCCACCTGGCAACAAGACATACAAATTATGGCCCCACCATGAACATGTTAAAGGATACCCACATAGCTGGTAAAGCATTTCAAGGTATGTCTGTGATGACGCTTCTGGAAGTCACTGGTACTTGAATGAGTGGGATGAGGAAAGATGTCCCTTACCCTATGTGGTAGGCACCATCCAATTGGCTTAACAAAAGACAGGAAAGGTGAATCCCTGCTCCTCTCTCTCCTAAAGCTAGCACACTCATCTCCTGCCCTTGGACATCAGCAATCCAGATCAGGCCTTCAGTCTTGGACTTAGAAGTTTTATCATTGCCGTGGTTCCCAGAAGTTTTATCATAGCCATGGTTCCCAGGCTTTCACTTATACTGAGCCATGCTACTAGCTTCTCTGCCTCCCCAGCCTGCAGGCAGCACACAATGGTGGAACTCCTCAACCTCTCTCTACGTGAGTCAATTCCCCTAACAAATTTCTCTACCTCCTTGCTGATTTTCTGGAGAATCCTAACAATTACAGAGAGATTACTAGAGTATTTAAATATAAGAGTACAAGAACACCTCAGCAATATTAAGAGCTAGTTAATGTATTGGGCCAGTGGGACAGGTAAGGAACTGGCTACCAGAAATCAGGACAAAACTAGAAAGAGAAAGGTCATCTTTAGTTGAGAGACACAGCCAGTACAAGGTGACCTTGAAAGGAAGTTGGGAACCAGAGGAATCAATGTTGGAGTTCATGTTCCTCCCTCTCTCTTATTTCTTAGTGTGGCTCTGTGCTTTCCAGACTAGCCAATAGCTGGACAGCAAAGGAAGACAAAAACTGCCTGTCCATCCTGGTCAGCCCACCAGAGCCAGAGGGTGGGAAGTCACTTCCGAGGCACTCCAGAAGACATCCCACAGTGATGTGTAGGCAGCCTCTAGGTCCAAAGCCTACAGTCTTTTCACTATACCTGTTAAAAATTTGGAAAGAGGGGAGAGTAAGGTCAGAAGTTTTATATTCTTTTTCATTACTGGTTAAGATTCTGCTATACCATCACAAGATCCACGTGCCTGGAAGTTGCCAGAGACAAAGCCAAAATGAAATCCTAGTCCTTATACTCAAAACTAATTCAGCCTACCTGTATTTCAGGAGTTTTGGCCAGAGACAGAGCTAAACAAGTACAAACCAACAGATTTTCTCTAAAGGGTTCAGAAAGGTTTCACCTGAGCCTAGTGTGCTGTCAAGTGCTGAAGACACACGTGTGTCAACTGCCTTTTCTGCTGCTGCATAATGTGCTGAAAGGATTTTAAGAAAAGAAACAATGACTGGGTCAGATGATAATCCTGGTCTATGATGGCAGACAGAAAATCAGGGTAAGGGTTACTTCAATCAAGTCCATTGCTAAATCAATGAACCTAGAATTTTGTCACTGTCCTAAGTCTATTATTATTAGCAACACAGGTAAAAATGCACTCAGGTTTTAGACTTAGCAAAGGTGAAGTCAAATCCTGCCTCTGCCACTGTGTCACTCTGAACATGTCAACTATGTTCTGGAAACCCTAATTTCCCCACCTATAAAATGTGTCTAGTAAGAGTACCTTCCTGATGGAGTGATGAAAATTAAATGGAAAAACAAATGCCAAATATCTGCCACCACCTATGCTCTCCACTCTGGCACTCAAAAAATGGGATTATAATCCCTATCTACTGCAGATCTGGCTCTCCCTGGGTCAGTTTACAGTGAGTTTACATAACCTTAGTGCTTTTGTCTTTCCTAAATAGAGGAATTTCTAAACCTGAGAATCTAACCCAAATTCTTTTCAAAACTTACAAGGAAGGAGTCCTAACCACTCTTGGTTCCCCATCCCCAGAAACTGCTAGAGTTAAAAAGGGTGAAAATCTAATCTTCAATACATTTTTAAATTTAATCATGCCTATCAATCTTCCAGAGACCCCTTTCTAATGGAAGGGGCCTGTTATAACACTGCTTTGCATACCTTTACAACAAATAACTTCTTCTGTTCTTAAAAATTCAAAAACCACTGATACAGGGCTCAGATGTGTTGAAGATGTTCTCAATTGTTTCTAAGAACCTTCTCTGCCTACCAATTAATGGCTCTATAGTGAGCAAGAAGCATTTCCCCACACTCAGAAAAAAGTGTCATAGGTCAAAAACTGAGCCACTTGTGTTTGGACATCAAAGATATGAATAAGAATTCCTAGGACCTCTGAAATTATTTTTCAATTAATAATAGTTTTCTTCAAACCTGAATAGGATTTTTTTTATCCTGGGTTATTAAATGTATTCATGTATAAGATAACAGGAGGAAGTCACCGGGAGAAAAAAAAGTGGGAAGTAACTAAAACCATAGCTGACACCAAAGGTAAGTGTAAATATTGTAGGAAGGTAACTCTGCACCCTCACTTGTATCTGCACTACGTTCAGTCACACTCACTGGATTACACATCCATCTGCAGCCACCATACCATTGTGATCTTTCACAACCATGCTACTCAAATAAGTTCTCCTCACTGAACCAGCCTCTGCCCTCCTGGTACTTGCTAATATTATTAGCGGCCTTCATTTTACCAAATCTTTAGAAATGACAAGGTAGTCAGAAAAAACTGAGGAACTGCCAGAATGAAGGAGACTAAAGGAACAGAATTTAGTGAGATACATGATCCTGGGTTAGAAGCTTTGGCTATGAATAGACATTGACAAAATTTGAATGAGGACTCTAAATGTACAGATATTCAGGAGTCCTAGCATTCTGGTAGCAACTTATATACTCTGAAAATAAAGTCCTATCAGTCTTATTTTGAAAAGGGTAAAAGTAGAATTTCACATCACTTTCCATGATACATGAGTTACTACTATACACACAACTTTAGCTGAGTTCCGTGCTCTGGTGAAGAAAAGCACTTCGTCTTTTTATAACCAAAGGAGGTTATAGTTACTCAAGTGGTTGAAATTTAGGGTGTTTTGTCAGGAAAACTAGAGAAAAATGGCATAAATCATCATCTAACTACATTAAGTTATCCAGCAAAGTGTAAACCATTTAAACAATCAGGAGACTAAGAGTGAAACAAGAGAGGTATTAGTCTCAAACAGTGGGTCATTATTAAACCAGGACTAAAATGGCTATAAAAGTAGGACTAGAAAGTCTAACCTCTGTAAGGAACCTACGTGAAGCGAGTGAGGAAAAAAGTTCTGTGCAGCAACATCTTTTACTCAGACAGACATGGACAGACTGTTGCATAACAAAGAATTCCATGTAATTCTTTCCGTGTTTTTCAAATCCCTTTTGAAACCCCATAACCTCTTTGATCCATCCATACTATATAAATTTCAACTACTTTTTTTCTTCTTGTGACTAGACTGAGTCTGTATATTTCATTAAAAACAATTTACAGCTGAAAGTGGAATAAAGTGGGAGTCATAAGCAGTTTTCCATGGATTTTTTTACCTGTACAAGTTCCTAAACAGCAATTTAAATGAGATCTTTTTACCAAACTAAGCAAAAATACTGATTTACAAGGACGAAAGAGTTTATAAATGAAAATGTAAGTTTGAAATACTCAAAGAAGTGCATTATACAGTTAAGAATCAGACTGCAAATCACTCAGAGAATAAAAGAAAAAGAGGCTGAGTACACCTTGGTATTTGGATTTTTCCATTCAGATCAGGAAGATGGAAAAAACAGACCCACACCACCCTCTCCCAGAGATCTTCAAAGATTTAACACTCAAAGGTTACTACAGATTCCAGAGTAGTCACACAGAAAGGTATTCTACTTGTTAACAAAACCCATTCAATGGATAAATTATCCATTCATTTTCAGATTTGTGAAACTGGGATAACACAGAGGGCACATTTCTTATTTTTATTTCAACATTTAAAATATTCACAGGTGGAGTATTATATTCATTGGCATCTCCATGGAAGATGTACCAAACAAAACATACAAGCATTCCACAATTACAGAATTACATATTTGTGATTATGTGCATGTTTACACTACAGTTTATGTGGGAAAACACCTTTTTTAAAAAAAACTTTTGAGTGTTTCATTGTTCTAATTTCCATAAAAAAATGAACCACAAAGAATTTCAGGAAATATACCTAAATATTAGTCAGCAGTATTTTTAAATTTTGGACTTTTATAATACTCTGTTAACATGTCTGTCAGGAACATTTCCAAAATTCATATTCAATTCTTTCTTTTTTCCCCTCAGTAGACAAGCCAGGATGTACTTTCATTTTTTCTCCCAAGTCTTTGTTTCCATGCATATTACATAAATTAGATTGATCATCACAGCATCTTGACTAGCTAATAATGAGGTAGGAGTATTCTTCAGAAGTTTTTAGGCATATACAGAAGAAAACAAGAAAAATCAAATTATAAAAAGTCTTTGTCAGTAGTTCTTTAAATAAAATGCCAATACTGGAAATTGGCCCAACACTGCTCATACTCTAAAGACAGGAAAATCCCATTAGAAAGCCTTATTAAGTATATTAAAGGGCAAAACCTGAGTACTGACATCAATTAAATTTCTTCCTGGGAGAAATCTAAGGAGTAAAATCTAAACAGAAATTAACAGGGCCAGGGATTTAGCTCTGTGGCACCACGCCTGCCGTGCAAGCAAAAGGTCCTGATTTCTATCCTTGGTACCACAAAAAAAAAACCAACCGTTGGGCTGGGGATTTAGCTCAGTGGCACTGCACCTGCCTCACAAGCACAAGGTGCTGAGTTCAATCCCCAGTACCACAAAAAAAAAAGAAGAAAGAAATTAATGTACTCTATCCTTTCTTTTCAGTCCAAGTTGGTTTCCTTTCTTTTAACCCAGTTCTTCTCTTTTTTGTGTGTGTACCAGGGATCAAACTCGGGACACCCTGCACTTAAGAGGCAGGCGGCAGAACCAGAGCTAAATCCCTGGCCCCTTGTCTTTTTCAATAAGTAACAAAGATTAAAAATTTTGGTATATCATATCAAGTAACATAAAATAAATTTAGCAATTTACCAAACTGCTACAGAAAATACTCCTTATATGAAGAGTTCACTAGGCTAAACAGCTAGTAAGTGCCAAGGTAATAGATTGCAGCACCATCTCTGCATAGGCAAATTACTTCAAAATGCATACATCTCAAAATTCATAGAAACCTAGGATATTTATCCATTCTCTTCATCTACACCAAAATCAAAATTCCATGTTCTAACAACCCTTTCTGAGTGCCAAAAATAAGGAATACTTTATAAAAATATCCAATTAACAGGACACATATGTTCCCAAATAAAGGGGGTGTTATCAATAATGATTTGTCAGGCCGGGCATTTAGCTCAGTGATTCCAGTGCCTGCCTTGCAAGAGCAAGGTCCTGAGATCAATCCCCGTTACCAAAAAAAAAATAATGATGATGATGATTTGTCTAAAACACATAAGAGTATTCTGAACAATAGTAATGATAATTTGATGACAAGCTACCAGAAAAGAGATTTCCTATTTTGCTAATTTGCACCTATTAAGGTTACTACAAAATACACTAAAATTCATCTAAAGAAGCTAAAATACAACAAAACAGCTACCAGGAAAGGAAAAAAGAAAAAGGTCACTACCAGTATATGTGGCTTGATAAGTTCTTGACAGTTCTACTACAAACTGTTTTAAACATAGGAATCAAACTTGGTAACAGAATAGTGAAATTCTCTGATATGGCAGCCCTTAATGGCAGTAATCATTTGAGATTTGCTACCATAATTTGTCAATAATAATTTTTAACATGTCTTTAAACTTATTTTTACTCTACCTCTAATTATATCCTGTCAGTGATCAAAATCTCAAAATAGCCTATGTATAACATTTAGTTTGAAGAAAATTCTTTCCTCTCCACATGCCACCCTCCTTCAGTTCAGTATCAGTTTACATTCTTTTCCTAAGGCACACCACACCCTATTTATTGCTGCAAAGCCCCTGTAATCTGTGCCTCCATCCACCTGTTTCATCATTATGGTAAAAATGAAAACCACTTAATGTGTTTTAAAACTAAGTAATATCAAATCTAGAAAACCACTGTCCAGTAGATTAGTTGCAAAAAACCAACTCTACTGAAGCAAAGGCCAAAAAACCTAAATTTATACTCTTACCCCTAAAAACTGACCACATTACCTACTATGACAGTAAAGCTCAGTAGTATCTCTGGCTACATATAACCCATATTCAATGTTATAAAATAAAATGTTAGGCCGGTAAGCTTTCACAATGTTTATTAAATCCTAGTCTAGTTTAACAATATCTGATTTTATAGACATCATCCCATGGTAAAATGTTTACTAAGTGAAAGCTAATCAGACATCTAAGTCCTTATTTCCTGTAGACTAAGCAATAACTACACAGAACACTATGGATAATGATATACACTGGCTCAGAGTTTTCATACAAGACATGTTATCAATGTTATCAAACTATACCTGCTAATAACATTTAATACATGGTTACTGATTATAGTTCTTATATAATTTAACTGTAAGAACCTTACTGAGATAACATCTTGACAGTTTCACTGAACTTTCCAAATTAGCATAATATATTTAAGGAAAAGAATATAGAGTAAAATGAAAATTGAACATGAAGAGTTTGTTATACAGAGAAAATGAAGTAAGGAAAAACAGGAAAGTCAAACGTTGAGGTGGAAAAGTCAGATTTATACAGCTGGTTGGAAGGGAAGACATCAAGTATGGATTTCATGAATCAAAAGTTTAAAAACTCAATGCAACACAAATCCTCTTTAAAGTAAAAGCTGAGTTAAAACTAATAGGTCTATAAAACTGTAACTCTGGGCCTTAAACAGTACCTAGTCTTCTGATCAAAAAAGGCCACAACAGTTAAATGATTGGAATTACTTGATTTTATTTTACACTAGGGGGCAGGCACAAAGCAATCCTCCTTAATGAAGTTGACAATTAGCTTCACTCAGAACATTTTTAATAACGCACATTAAAAAAAAGTATTCATCTTACAAATTGTTCTGCAATCGAAATATACAACAGCTTGGAAAACAACATTTAGAAAAACAAAAGCCAATGTAAAAAGACAGAGTAAAACAACTAGAACCGTACAGGTTTTTATGGCTCAGATTCTACAGTTTTCTTACTGCATCATCAATGTCGGAAATCTGCTCCTTCAGCTGGCTCCATTGCTCCGGATTTAAAGAAATACCTAAAACAAAGTAGAAAAATTTAAAGCTAAAAAATCTCTTCAAGCCTTGAGGATTTTCATAATTCTAACTAATACTTTACAAAAATTGTCATTTTCTTGTTTGTGGGATTTTTTGCAGTGCTGGGGATCAAACTTGGGGCCTCAAGCACACAAAGCATCTATACCCTACCACTGAACTACATCACCAGTCCCAAAATTGTCATTTTTGTTTTTGGAGTTTTTTTGGGTTTTTTTGGTATCGGGGATAGAACTTGGGTCCTTGCACTTGCGCAGCAGGCGGCAAAATCACTGAGTGAAATCCCCGTCCCCAAAATTGTCCTTCTTAATGGCATAATTAAGACTTAAATCTTACAACTGTTAAGAGAGTCATCATGATTTCCTGAACAGATCAAGCCTGTACTAAACCTGACTTCCCACAGTGGCTCCTATATGCCTATTACAATGAGAACCAATGATGATTTGAAGATACACCTGCAAGTTGCCAACTAAATGGGCAAGTCCAGATTTGGCATGTGATACCCTCACTACATTCAGTTGGTTCTAACATTTGCCCCAAATTTCCACAGGAATTCAGGGTAATTGCTGAGTTCTTCTAAAAGCATCCATTTTACTTTGTAAAACTCTCTGGGACGTGATTCACAAAGGATTTCTAGAATGAATATATATATATATGTACATGTGTGTGTGTATATACATACACACACACATATGTACATATATGCTATCAGCTTTCACTATCACTAACTATATAACCCTAGCTTTCACTATCAGTAACTATATAACCCTAGAAAAGACTGTATTATCATCTGAGCTTGTTTTCTAAGGGTTGCTGTAAATTATAATAAGGTTAAATAAAGAGCTTAGCATATCACCTAACATGCATGTAAATACTTGAACTGATGTTATTTCTCAGAAAACATGGCTAAGAGGTTATGAAACTGAAAACAAGGAGACTATACAGGGACAGTACCTAGGAAGCATTTTAAAGCTAATCAAATTGTTAAAGGAAATGTTTTCAGGAACAAAATCTGGGCATTAGCCACTCTGGAACAACCTGAATGAATAATCCAGGAATGACTTCAACATGAAAAGGCACGAAAATATAGAAAGGCTGTCTTTAATAAACCCCAAAACTACATGAAGCAAACAAGTGGTACCTTCAAAGCTGACAGGCAGGCAGAGTAGTACTAAATTAAGAAGCACTTTTTTCATCAGCAGATCAACTTAGAGCAACTATCTAAATATATAAATTTATATTGGTCCAACAAATAAATGTCCTCCAGCTATTCAGTGACTAAATAAAATAAAGTATGTTTCTATACACTAAAAGAGCTGGGACTTGAAATGTCCTAGAGAATATCCCTTAGGACTGAATAAATGGGAGGCACTACAAACTGGAGTTTTGCATTCTTGATTTTACAACTTTCTACTAAAATCTCCAGAAATGCTGTAATATTAAAATTACATTGGGTCCGGGATCTAGCTCAGTGGTTCCGCCACCTGCCTCGCAGGCGCAAGGACCTGAGTTCAATCCCTGGTACCAAAAATAAATAAAATTACATCCAAGTAAATTAGCAACCAATTAAAGTGGTATTAGAAATGTTATTTTCCTGTGTTTTATTCCCAAGGGATGAATTTAGGACACTTCACTGGAAAAAGATAAATATATTGCCCAAAATGATTACAAGAATCAACTGACTAAGGCTTATCTTTGCCATATCAACATTTACTTCAACTTCAAGTAAGGGAGGTTACTTAGAAATGTTTTAATTTAGTCTTAACTTTAGAACCAGAAGCCTTACCTTTTCTTCCTGGTTTCATTTCACCTTCTGGATCCATCCAATATTCTCTAATATCAATTAGAACTTTCCCTTTAAAGTCCCGAACACTGACATACCTCATTTTCCCAATCTGCAGAAAAACCAAAAACATAAAAAGAGGTGTTCCTTTCACTAGTGATATCTGTTTTGGCAGTTGTGGCCTATTTATATTAAAAACTTGCTGCAAAGGAATTCTAGTTTTAATCATGAAAATGACTTTTTCTCAATATCAAAACTGTAACCAACAGAAATCACTGTTAAAAAAAATCTCAAAAGGGCCGGGGATTTAGCTCAGTGGTTCTGGCGCCTGCCTCGCAAGTGCAAGGTCCTGAGCTCAATCTCCGGTACCAGAAAAAAAAAAAAAAAAAATCTCAAAAGACAGAATGAAATAAAGCATATTTCCTATTTCCAACCATTTTTAAATTTTTAAAACATCATTAGTAAAATAGTACAGTTGCTATGGAAAACAATCATGGAGGTTCCTCAAAAATTAAAAACAGTATGATCAACAATATCACTTCTGAGTATCATCATATGTCACTTAATGAGAGTATGTTCTAAGTAATATGTCAAAGGCAACTCTGTCATTATGTGAGTATCAGAGTGTACTTAGATAAGCTAAGAAAACTACACTGTCACTAGGAAATGTATCTCATGGGACCAGCACACTATGTATATTTGATCCATCACTGATTGAAATGCTATGAAGTGTACAGCTGTACATATATCCAAAAGAATTGACAACAGGGTCACCAAAAGACACAAAGAGTGATGAATACATATATTTGGTTAAAATTAAGACAGTGAAAGACACTGCCATTAATCCCTCTGAAAATGCTCCTCCTCCTTCAAACACACTTATCTCTCATCATTCTTGCTATTTTCTGAAGCAGTTCTAAAAGTTCTCTTTTGTGATGAGATATGATATAAAAAAAAAAAAAATACAGTAAATCCTGCCAAGAGTGCTATCAAAGGAAAGGCATGCTCATAAAAACACTAGAGTATGTCCCCATCCACCTTTATTCACCAAACCTACCATCATGAGACTTCTGGCTTATCTCCGAAGTCAAATGACCATGAAAGGGAAAATTTTGAATCAATTCAGAACACTGAGCCAACCACAACAGTACCATCTAAAGATGCTCACAAAAAAACTTTCTGAAAGTGTCAAGAAGAATGGAGTAAGTGTGCTCAAAGTGGAAGTATTTGGGGAGCAGAGTTAATGGCAATGTGTTTTTTTCTGTAATAAATTTTTATAGAAAGTGAGCATTCACCATATTTGTCAATCACACCATGCATCAGCACACCAATTGTTTATAATTGCTATTTACAAAAGGCAAGGAAAAGAAATCCAAATGTTCATACACAAATGAATGGACAAACAAAATCTGTATACACATACAATGGAGTATTACTCAAAACTCAAATTCTGACATATACTTCAACAGGGACAGATCTTGAACACACTGTGCTAAGGAATACACCAGCTATAAAGCAATGGTAATACTGTTTGATTCAACCGAAACAGGAGATATCTAAAATCTAAAGCAGTCAAATTCACAGAAGCAAAAGGCAAAATGATAAATATCCAGGACTGGGAAGAATGGGAAAAAGTTGTTTTTGTTTTTATTTTTTTTAATAGTTTTTCAAGATGGAGAAGTTCTAAAGACGTGCTCCACAAATATGAATAAAATTGTCTTTCTTACCACAATTTTAAAGTCACTAGTGAGCAAAATCTTGAAGTACAAACTACCACCAATAGGAATCCACAGATTGAGCTAGCAACACTCCCTTATCAACTGTTCTGAATATAGGAATCTTGAGTTCTAGTCAACAGCAACATAAACTTTTCCTTTTGGCATTCATTTCAGTAACATCTTCAATACACCTCAATCACAGTCAAATTAAGAACTTAAAACTATTCACAGAAAATTATTTTTTAAAACCTTTATTCTGCTACTTAACATAAACCACAAATTCCAGAGGATGGATGGAAAAGGTTTTACTCAACAAAGCATTTGCTGGTATTTTTCCAAGACTCACTACATATAGTAAGAAAAGGTGTGGCACTGGAATACAGACAGACATAAATGGATTAGAATGCGAACCAGATGTAGGCACATATTTAATATATTCACCCATTTTCTTTACAAAGACCCAAGGTAACTCAAAGGAAAGAAAACTAACAAATGGATACCTATCTGTAGGGGAGAGAGGAATGCAATCCTTATCTCATAACTTAAGAGAAATAATCCTCCATTGATCATAAGCTTAAACACAAAAACCAAAACTGTGGCCATGGGGTAGACAAAATATGTCCTGGATAAAATAAACAATCAATTTTTAAAAAGAGAGAAAAAACTGAAAAAATGACTTCAGCCAGACTTTGGCCTCCCAGATAAGCCTGAAAAAGAGTATGTGCAGGCTCAGAGAGGACTGTGGACAAGAAGACTAGAAAAAACAATGAGTTGATCTGAATTTAAACTAGATTACTTTAAAAAGACTAAAAGTTCCTTAAGTAAAAAAAAAAAAAAATTCAATATACTTATTTCAACAAAGGATTTATACACAGTATATAGTTTTACAACAGATCAAACAACCTAATTTTTTAAAAAAAGGACACAAAGAGCTGAACATATTCTTCACAACAGTATGAAAATAGCCAAATACATATCAAAGATATACAATGAATTAGGGGGCCGCGGATTTAGCTCAGTGGTTCCGCCAGTGGTTCTGCCGCCTGCCTAAGTGTGAGGTCCCGAGTTCAATCCCCAGTGCCAAAAAAAAAAGTTGAATACAATGAATTAAGATATTAGGGAAATGCAAAATAAAACCATAATGAGCTACTACTATATACTTAACATTTTAGTTCACACACAAAAAAAAAATTTTAGAAAATGAACTTGCCCAACAACAATCTCTCCCTTGAGAAGTGGTTAAAATTCAAAAATTCTTATAAAACATTAAAAAAGAAAAGTGACCAGGAGATAGTAAAAGAGATATAATTAAAAGTAGAATCGAGATCACTGTAATCCCATTTTATAGGAAGAAAGAACAGATGTCAGAATATGCATTTTCACATGCATGTATCTAGAGACTAGCAAGAAAAATATAGCATATACATCATATACAAGTATGATTCTTACAAGAATAATTTTTGACTCCTTGATCCCCTCAGAGAATCTGATAAAGGCTAGGAATAATCTACTTTCAAATACAAAAAATTAAATTTTTTTTAAAAAGCACATAATTTTACTCTTAAAGTCATTTATGTCTTCACTTGGATTAACAACATTTGACTCTGTAATGAACATTTTCAAAAAGTAACATTTCATCCATAAATTATAAATGAACTAATGCAGTATTACTTGATACTTTGTGCATATCTCTGAAGGAAAGGATGGATGAAAGTCCCCTGCTCCAACCAATCTGACTTTAAGGGGTACTAAGTCATTACAACAGAATTCTCCAGGCTGCTTTTATTATCACAAATGTTATCTCAAGAAGACCATTTCTAGCCTGGCGTAGTGGCTCACTCCCGTAATCCCAGCACTCAGGAGGCTGAGGCAGGAGGATCACTTCAAGTTCGAGGCCAGTATGGGCTACATAAAGAGTTCAGGGCCAGCCCGAACTACAAAGGGAGACCCTGCCTCAAAAAAAATAATAAATAAATAAATAAATAAAAATAAAAGACCATTTCTGTCTATACAGTGAAAGGAGCTTTCAAAATAATTTAAAACTGTTACCAAAAAAATTCAGTGAAGTGTAAGAAAATTAAAGTCATCTGAAATCTCACTGCATTGATAGTTTGATAATGGTTCTACCCAGTATTTAGGAGACTGAGGCAGGAGGATTGCCACAAGTTTTAGGCCACCCTAACCTACTATATATAGTGAGTTCAAGGCCAGCCCAAACTACATAACAAGACCCTCTTGCAAAAAAAACAAGAGGCTGCTGAGGTAGCTCTGGGCACAGGAGACCCTCAATTCGATCCCCAGTTTGGGGGGTGGGTTTCAGCTATGACAATACCTCACTTAATCTGGATTTCAGATCTACAGGTTTTGGGGAAGACATCTGTGATATCCTGGATCCTAAAAGATTCTAACATGTGATGATATAGCAGTGTATTAAAAACATTCTGCTCTGTAGGAGCTGCCTTCAAAGCACTTCCTTGATATATGAAAAAATTATTCTTTTAAAATGTTATAAAATATAGTGGGACTGTTTTTCTTTTTGAAAAACTTCATCTTCCTAACACTATTATTAATAAAAATGAACGCTTCATTTAATACTAATGTACTATAATGTGCTCTTAAGCTGATTAAAATTATAACCACTGAAATATTTTTCTGTGGCCAAAATTTCCATTTTAAGGAAAAGCAATGAAATAGCATTATCTCTTAGATTGTCAACACTAGTAAGTCTGTGAAAGCTACTTCAAAAATAATATCCATAGTTATTCCTAGAGACAAGACTTCATAAATGAAGTATCTAATGGCCACAGAATGCTTAGCTATCTTTCCAAATGAAAATTTTAAAAACTGAAGCTCCTGGGCAACTCAGTAAAACTCTGTCTTAAAACAAAAAAATAAAAAGATTTGGGGACATGGCTCACTATAAATGCCCTGGGTTCAATCCAGGGGTGGGGGTGGGGGTGGGTGATGCTCCTGTTTGTTTTGAGGGTTTTGGGTTTTGTTGTTTTGTTGTGTTAAGAGAAAACCATCTCCCTGAAAATAGACCTGGTTTTCCCAAAACTACTCTAATTGAATGGAAGCTCTAAAATGAGTCCTTATCTCTTTTAAAATTAGATAAAAGTCCATTAAAAAACCAGATACACTCTATTATTAAACAAGTAAAACTAGGCACGCAGTGAAACTGAGAAAAGCCCAAAATAGTTGCCTAGCAAATACAAACGTGAAGTTAAAATAACCCAAAGTGGTGCTTCATTCTACTACATAGTAGGAAGCCTACGACAGCTCTTACAGATTTTACATTTCATTCCATCCATAAAACAGGGACCCAAGGCTGCAATTTATAATTCCTGCACAATCTAAGCTCTTTCCCACTTCAAGGCATTAGCTACTAATTAACTACTAATGCTTCTCTTTGCCTAGTACTTTGCATGACTCTCTTTCACGTCTTAATGACAATTCCTTGGAATGAGATTCCCAGAACATCTACTATTTCATAATAATCTGACCCTTTATTTCTCACCCCTTCCAATATGTTATTTATATTTATCTGTATAATTTTTGTCCCCACAAATATGGAGCTACAGACTACATCAGCTGCAATCCAGAACCTGGCAGAGCCTACCTGAATAAAAAAACAGAACACAGTCAAGCGTTCAATATATTACCCACTCAAAGCAATGAGGAACCTCTCAGAATCCTTCCTCACATCAAATATTTTTTATGAAGCCAGATGTAGTGGCCCACATCTGTGATCCTAGCCCTTGGTGGCCAAAGCAGGAGGATCACTCCAAGTTCAAGGCCAGCTCGGGCTACATAGAAAACTTAAGGCCAGCCTGAGCTACAATAGTGAGGCCTTGTCTCAAAAACAAAAAAGCAAAAAACTTATGTTCTCCATCAATATAGATATTATATCTCTGTAATACCTCTATTATATCTATCAATATTATTATTAATATTAATATTGCCTGGCCCTCATTCCTCCAAGTTATCCATAAGTCAGAGGATTTAACCTATAACTATTCATCTGTACTGTCAATTTATCCAGAAGTATCACAAAGCAAAAATGAACAATATCTAACTTCTATTTTCCATTCCACCTTAATCCTGGCATTTCATCTTTGAAAGAAAGCTATCAGCAAGTCAAAAAAACGCATTTACTAGCCTAACTTTCTATTCAAATATTTGTACTCTCATTTTTTATCTCCAACCAATATTTATACCCCTTTGAAACAGTAGTCCTTTTCTTGCTCCCATTATTGTATTCTTCTAATCTTTTCCAGCATTTCTCATCTTCATCTACATCTTCTTCCATCCTTTACTCGCTCCTCTTGGTTTATGCTGGCTTTGATCAACGATGCTCATGTTTCCACACGAACAATTCCTGGCCAAGACTTCCAGGTGCTACAGGAGACCATACTTACCTTGTCACATTTATAAACCAGTTTGCTTTCTCATTGATTTTTTTTTTTTTGGTACTGGGGATCGAACTCAGGACCTTGCACTTGTGAGCCAGGCACAGTGCCACTGAGCTAAATCCCTGGCCCACTTTCTCACTGATAGGTTAATTCCTAATCAGTATCTTTGCAATGATCACTAGTTCTTTAAGGAAAAAAAAATCATCTAGCTCTTATCACATACAGATTAAAATCTATAATTACCTCAGCAATCTCACCAGTATCCATTTATCCCCAATTCTTCCTTCTCAAATCTTTTTTTTTTGAAATGAGGTCTTGCTATGTATTTCAGACTGGCTTTGCACTATGTATCCCAGGCTAGTCCCAGTCACAGCAATCCTCCTGCCTCAGCCTCCAAAGTGCTGGGATTACAGGCAGGCAGCACCATGTGTGGATTTCACAAATTATTTTTGTACAGTGATGCTAATATCAGGTCGCCCTAAAAATGGGTAAGAAACAAAAGAAGCTATACTAGTCCTCTCCAGATGAATTCATCAAACCCTTCCAATGTACTTTCCTCATTTTATCAACTCACTCTTTATCAGTCCAAAGTAGGCCACATCATATTGCTACTTCTGTAGTAATATCTTACCCATACTCTACAACCTAATACTTAACAGTACCTTCTCAAAGTTGCTTCCTAAATGTGCAGTTCCCCATCAGTTTAATTTCTCTAACATCTAGCTTTTCACTTTTTGCACTGTTTCACATACAGTAAAACTATACACACTCAAGACACTAATAATCCAGCACTGTATAAATTACTTCTAACTTATTCTCATATTTTAATTAATATTCTTAGTCAAAAGGACAACATACATAAAAGATTGTTATGCAACATCAGATCAAGGTATTTTTAACATTCTTCAGATCAAAAAAGTAACCCTGGATCTAAGGAAATAAGCAACTTTACCTGAAACATGTTATCATCTCTGCTGCTGCTGCTCTGCTTAGAAGATGACAAAGCTCTTGAAGTTTCACCAGTCTTTTGCTTCTTAACAGGTTTTTCTGGGGCAACTTGCTTTTTCCTCTTTAACTTGAAAGAAAAAGGAAGAATATGGTTAAATTTGCATACATAAACAAATCTCAAGTTGAATATTCCACTACTTTTGAAGAACTAAAGAGTTAAAATACTACATTAAAAGAAAAAAAATCAAGCTGGGCATTGATGGTGCACACCTGTAATCCCAGCACTGGGGAGGCTGAGGCAGGAGGATCACTGCAAGTTTGAGTCTAGCATGGGGTACACAGTGAGTTCAAGGCCAGCCTGAACTATACAGCAAGACCCTGTCTCAAAAATACAAACAAACAAAAAAAAATCAAATATAAGTAATCAAAAGAAGGGCTGGGGATGTAGCTCAGTGGCACCACACCTGCCTGGCAAGTGCAAGGTCCTGAATTCAATCCCCAGTACCAGGGAAAAAAATAAATAATCCAAAGATACAATGAATGTTCAAATTTTTTTTAAAACACCTATTACAGTAAAAGATACATTACCAAGAACAATGGAATAAGTGCATGTGAAGCAAGGAGTATTTTGAGCAGGGCTAATGATAATGTGTCTTTTACTGTAATTTTAAAAATTTTAATATGCACATTTTTTGATATCTCATATATACATAGTAAAATTTCACTTAACAACAGAATTATGAATCTAACCTAACTAATCACTTCTTCAAACTGTGTTCTCAAGATCCTGAAAGATATCTGAGGGATTACAGCGGGATTAGCCTGAAAGCTATGAGGCATTACAGTGGGATTAGCCAGAGGGAGTCATTCTGTGGCTTGGGACACCATATAAGATTTCTTTAGAAGAAAAAGACTTGAAGCTTTTGAAAAAACTTTGAAAAGCACAAGCCTACTAAAGCTAATCAAGTACTTATTTTTTAACACCCCCAAATTGGGGTGGGGGGCAAATATAACCAACTTATTCCATTTCTAAGACATGAATAGGTTCAAGCCCTACTCCTGGTACCAAAAAAAAAAAAAGATTATGAAGAGTTTTTCTATGCCTTGCACATTCCACATGGGATTTAAACTATATAGTTAGGCAAAAGTTAAAGAGAGCTCTTTTGTAGCAGGCACTGAACAATTGAAGTCATAAATTCAAGAACTTCATCACACACACACACAAAATCAATGAAGACAGTAATGCATTAGACTAGCATTCAAAATCAGAACAAGGTATTAAAAACACCATTACTATAAACACCTTCTATATAGCCTAGTTCTAAAAATGAGTTAACAGCACACAAAAAAGTATGGTTCCCAACCCAAACAGTAGAGGGCAGTCATATTCCTTATTGGAAAAGCATCAACTAGCATCTTAATGTTACTAAATTAATTTAGTGTAGTAAATTAGATTAAAACCAAGTAAAACAGTATATACATATATTCAAGACAAAGTGAAAAACATGGATGCATTTAATGTAAGTGCTCACAGAATTAATAATACAAAGACAAGCAGCAAATATTAGCTCATTAAGGGAAAAGCAATTATTCTTTAAATCAACATCTAAATATTCAATGGGGACTAGTGCATGCCTGGTACATAAAGGTTCAATATGGGGCCAGGGATTTAGCTCAGTGGTTCCGCTGCCTGCCTTGCAAGCACAAGGACCTGAGTTCAATCTCCAGTACCAAAAAAAAAAAAAAGGTTCAATAAGAATGTTATCTGAACATATTCAAATGCTATACTGACACAAACAAAGATTAAAGAGATTTCTTCAACTATAGCTATGTATGCACCTTGAAGCCTTATTTCAAACTTCCCAGTTGATGTTATATAACCTGTATTTAAAAGTGAAGGCTCCAACTTTCAAAATGTCCCTTTTCTCTTAGCTAGCAATTCCTTGAGAAGAAAAATAGATGAGCGGCCTGCTGCTTTTGAAACCAGTTTTCTGCTAAAGCTACTCAGTAATTTTTAAAAAGGAAATACTATACTAATTAGGAAGAATATAACCAACTTATTCCATTTCCAGGATATAAACGTTTACTCATTTATGTAAACATCTGAGGGAAAGATCTCAGTAGAAGAATACAGAGGAGTAAGATGCTTAGTTATGTTTCATGGAGATGTTCAATGAAGTGGAAGGCAGGGCTCCGTCTCAGAGGAGCTGTGATCTAATGCTGAAAACTAGGTCATTTCATCTTAATTTTGCTAGATGCTGACTTAACTAAAAGGAAGAAATCAAAGCAAGTAATGTTCTAACTTAAAAGATACCAAGTCTAAAATTCAGTAAACCCTGTGCACAAAATAAACACCAATGACTAAGAAAGCTGTCAAAATTAACATTTGGGTTTAAAAATTTAGGTAACTTGGCCCAGTGACTACAAACAATACCTACAGAACAAGCAGAGTTCTAAACAATGACAAACAGTGTCTTTGGCCTAATTATAATTCTATTCCCCTGAAGTCCAAGGAGTGGCTCTGCAACTTTTGGGTTCTTAAAGGTCCTCAATAGAAGACTTAAGTCTGACTTACGGCCTGCTAGAATGGATATACCCATTCTCATTTTAATATTGTGATATACCTTTTACTATCCTTCAGAATTGAATATGGGCCATACTGCTAAATTAAACGAAAATATGAGACAGTATGTCACCTTCTTGTCAACTTCACTGTCAGAATCGCTGCCCGAAGAGCTTGAAGAAACAAGTTCCTTTGATTTAGGCATTCTGAAAGAAAAATACATTATACACATAATTTTCAAGCTGTTCTCCTTTAGCGCTCACCAATTAAAAAATTAACGACTTTCATAGTTCATTATACCATTTTATGGTACTTAAAGAGTACTGAACACAAATAACAAGCAACATAAAATTTTCTGAACCTAGTTAAAAGAACTAAATGCCATGCACACATTCCTCACTTCCATCTTTCTCAAAACCAACTGAGTCTTTTTTTTTGGAGACAGGGACTCACTATATGTTTCAGCCTGGCCTTGAACTCACCACACAGCCCAGGTTGGCCTGGAACTCAGTGATCCTCCTGCCTCAGCCACCACGTACAGCTCATCCAATTGAGTCTTTTTTTTTTTTTGGTACCAGGATCAAACTCAGGACCTTGTGCTTGCAAGGCAGGCACTGGAATCACTGAGCTAAACCCCTAGCCCCCTGATTGAGTCTTTTTAACACTTCACTCTAGAGAGGATAGACATTTACAGGTAGGGTAGATTTCAAGAAGGCAACTGACATTTACTGTTAAAACCAGATGAAGGGCTGGGGATTTAGCTCAGTGGCTCCACTGCCTGCCTCACAAGTGCAAGGTTCCGAGTTCGATCCCTGGTACCAAAAAAAAAAAAACAGATGAAACGTAAATTGTGCTGTGTGCTGCTTTACACTTCTATTAATTAGATTAGACCTAACATAAAATTATTCACTAAGAACAGACCCCCAACACTCACGAGGTCAGTTTTACTAGGCAACTGTGATATCTAATCATCTTATATCTATTTTGTATATATTGACTTTCTTTGCCCACACCATCAAAATAACAGGTCCTAATTCAGTTCACAAAATTACACATAATTAGTTGGGCATGGTGCCACATGCCTGTAATCCCAGGATTCAGGAGGCTGAGGCAGGACAATCAAGACCAGTTCAAGACCAGCCTGGGCTACATGAGTTCAGGGCCAGTCTGAATTACAAAATGAGACCCTGTCTCAAAAAAAAAAAAAAAGACAAAAAAAATTACATATAATTTGCAACATTTTACACTGATTTGCTACTCTGGAGTGAAATTAAAATTTGCTTTGTTTATAGAAAGGGCAAAACCTCTCAGGTCCCTAACTTATGTGCTTTCCTTACAAGTCAATGTTTACTTAGTGCCTGAGCATAAAACAGAGAGAAGACTCTCAAAGTCTAAACCCGAAATTTCAAGTTATTTCAAGGCATGTGGGTACCTCTTTCCAAGGCACTTGTAATAACAGATGATAAAATAATGGTCGAAGTATCTTTTGCTCTCCATTTCAAGAGACTAGGTCCTATTAATTTTTGCATGCCCAAGAGCTTACTGAACACACTACAGATGTTGAATAAGGGGGAAATACTTCGACTTCTCACAAAATGAAAAATCATAATCTAGCTCTCTAGATTAAACTTGCATTAGCACTGGCATTGAAAGAGGTCAATATAAAAGTGGGTCATCCCAATTCTGGCCATTAAATTTAAAAACCTCAAACCGTGGCCAACACAACCATGCTGATTTTAACTGATAATTTCTCGAAAAGAAAAGTAAATTCATGGAGAGCTCTGCTGTCCCTAATTACATTTCATACATTTTTCCAGTTACTGCTTCATTTTACAAGGTAATCTCCAATATCAATTTAGATCAGTTTTCTAATGCTAACTGCTAATACAATCGCCTAAAAACCTTCTTTTAAAAGGTAATTAAATGGAACATAACCTACTTTTCATTTGCAAAGTCAAGCATAACCACCTTCCATTTATAAAAGTTGCCTGGGGACCTAAAACCATTCTCAAGAACTACCTCACACTTAACCCAAATAAAGTCTGTTCAAAAAAAAAAGGATATTGGTAACTAAAACCAACATCTTTGCACTTCTGACAAAATGTATTTTTACTGAAAGAGATTTTACGGTTTCAAAGGCGGGAGCATGCTCGCAATTCAGGCACATGGCAACTGAGGGAGCTATATTGTAGAACAGTCAAAACGCACTGAAAAAGGGGAAAAAAATAAAGGGATCTTCGTCCTTGCCGGCTGCGTTGGAAAGGATTCGAGCAAACGCGGTGAAGAGAAGCGGGAATGAAGGGCGCAGGATTCGGCACGACGCGAGGTGGTGAGCATCGAGAACGCGGCGGGGCCGCTGGAAACCTCGCGGTGGCGGCGGCCTGGGCGATGGGGACGGGGCGGTCGGAGGGGCGTGGGGGCGGCGGGGAGCGGAGAGAACGTGCGGGAAGAGGAGGGACTAGCGCCCAGCGCCATTTTCTCCTCTCGACGCCTTCCCTCGCCCCGCAACCCAGCCATCTTCCCCCACCCCCGCCCCGGGCCGGTCCCCACGCCCCGGCAACTCCCACCGCAGGGGCCGAGGTGGGGGCAGCCCTGCCTGGCCGCGCCCCGCCGCCTCGACCGGTTCCCAGAAATGGTGTCTACCACGGAGCCCACAGCGTGCCGGGCTCGAGGACGGGAACCGAGGGGAGCGGGGACGCCGAGGGGGAAGGGGAGCCTAGGCAGAGCCGCCACTGCCCGCGGCGAGCAGCCACCGCCCCGCTGGAAGAGCGAGGGACGGCGAGGCAGGGCTCCCAGCGTGGGGGCGGGGGCCGCACACTCACGTTCCGCTGCTGCAGTCCACAGCCTCCTCGCTCGCTCGCTCGCGACTGACAGAGAACCGGAAGTGACGGCAGCTTAGAGGCGCCGGCCCCGCCCCGCTGGAACCACGAACACGTGATGGGCGTGGTCTCCCGACCAGACCCTTTCCAAGGCCTTAAAGGTACTGCCTCTCGTCCCGAATGGATGATGTTCATTAGACCCGACTTGAGAGGAAATGATGGTGCTAAAGAAAGACGAATGACAAGCACAGAGTTTTGCTCTTGTTCAATAAGTGCTTGCCTATTGGAATGAAGAGCCAAATTGAAAAAGATCAACCCACCCGGCCGTGGTGGCACATGCCTGTAATCCCAGCACTTGGGAGGCTGAGGCAGGAGGATCGAGGATCGCCGCGATTTTGAGGCCAGCCTGGGCTACACAGTGAGATCAGGGCCAGCCTGAGCTACAAGGGAGACCCTGCCTAAAAAAAAAAAAAGAAGAAATTAAAAGATCAACCTGCTGGCCCATTTTCCCTGAAATGAACCTCCAGCCTTCCCACCCTTCGTATCTCACTCTGGCTGCTGAAGTCCAAAGGAAAGAAGCTAAAGTCACAGCGTTTAATTCTCAAAAAGTATAAGATACCTTTGCAGAAGTCTGCACAATCTCTGTCCCTAAATTGAAGTCCTGGAGGTGCAAGTTAGTTCACAATACAAGAGAAATCCATTCTACAAGCACGAATATGGCTAATATATTATTTTAATATTTTTGTTGAAAGCCTACTACAGCCAAGAACTAATATTTAATTTATTATTTATTATTTAATATTTATTTATTCAACATTTAGCAAGCACCCACTGTGTGAAACGAAATGCATGCCTCATTTTACATTATTATTCATCTTTACATTCACTCCAAAGTAGAAATGATTATTTGCTTTGTTTCGTAGATGGGGAAATCAAGGATCAACATTTAATAAATGATTCAACCTTATGCTGTCTAACACATTATTGCCTACACAGGCAGAGTAGAAAAGCTCTACCCACTCCTACATTATGCAGTATCAGGAAGGCTAGATGAAGTGAAACACTAATTGTATAATTTCATGTATGTGAAGTTCCAAATACAGACAAAAAATAACCTGTAGGAGAGAGGTCAGGCTGTCCTGGAGGGTGTGATTAGGAACAAGTGGAGTGGAAATTGCTGTAGTGCTGATAGTACTTGAGAACATGGCAGAGGGGTATATAGGTATAAAATTTCACTTAAGATTTGGGAATCTGGGGATTTAGCTCAGTGGTGCCTATGCCTGCCTCACAAGCCCAAGGTCCAGAGTTCAATCCCAGGTACAGAAAAAGAATATCTGGGGTTGTGGTACACACCTGTAACACCAGCACTTTAAAAGACTGACACAGGAGGATCGCAAGTTCAAGCCACCCTGGGCAACTTTTCAACTTAATGAGACCCTGGCTCAAAAAACAAAAAAAATTAAAAAGGGTCAAGGATATAGCTCAGTATAAATGTCTTGGGTTCAATTTTCAGTACTACAAAAAGGGAGTGGGGGCAGGCCTGGTGGCACAGACCTATCAGCACTCTGGGAGGCTGAAGCAGGAGGATCACAGGTTCCAGCCCAGCCAGGCCAAGTTCAAAATGAAAAATGGGCTGGAGGTGTAGCTTAGTGCAAAGGGCCTAGGTTCAACCCCCAGTACCACAAAAGAATGAAAGAAAAGGGAGAAAGGGAAGGAGGGAGGAAGGGAGAAAGATAAAATAGTGAAATTAAGTTGTAAAAAGATGGAATGAACTCAATAACTCCTGCTTCAACTTTGTAGCTTGATAGCCTAGGCCTGTAATGGCAAACATCTTAGAGTTCTCAGTGATAACAAACAGCTGGCTGCGCCACATGTGCCATAGGTTTGCTACTACTGGTAGAGTTTACATGCACAAAAGCAGTTAGGAAAGCGCTTACATGGACACTGTGGGAAGATGACCAAAGTCGCCTGGGGCACACCAGGACCTGGGGCCATGGTGGGGAGCCCATTGCTCAGGATATTGGATTGGACAGGGCTCACATACTGGGTTACTAGAGGATTACCAGGCTGCCTGGGCCCTGGCAGGCATGGACATGGTTCTGTGACCAGAATGCTGGGGTTCCGTCCTATGATGACAAAGAATGAAACCACAGATAGGGAAGTAAGGCTTCTGCCCCCAGGAGGGGTATCCATGAGGGCTCTTTGTCTAGGGTTTTTAAGATTTTTAGAAGGGAGCTCAAGCCATTGTGTAAGCAATATAATCTCTACCTTACAGAGACTACATACTTTTTAAGGTCTAATCTATGCAGTGTTCACACAGGGCCCATGTGACCTTGAATCAGTGGCCTGCCTGATCAGGCTCTGGGGAGGTCCCAGACAGCTGAAGGCCCCCAAAGCCTCAAGTACTCATAGGTGGGGCCTTTCAGACCTGTGTGGATCTGGGGTGTGTGAATATAGATGAAAGGTGTATGCTATCTGGATTAGTCCCCAAGTTGGATTACCATAGTTCTGGGTGTTGCTGAATGGATTTGTGAAATTTTTAATAAAATAAAAGAAGCCATGAAAATAAATTCTGACACCACTCCCTGTCTTGGGACCCTACATACTTCCACACCTATCTACAAAAGTCATGCATAACACTCAAGCTAAACCAAACTTAAATTAATATGACATCTCAATTCTCTTCTCTCTCTCTCTCTCTCTCTCTCTCTCCCTCCCTCCCTCTCCCCACCCCCACCCCCATCTCCCCAGTACTGGAGAAAGAACCCAGGCCTTTCCTTGAAATAAAAGTTTTCATTCAGGGTTTGTGTCTGAGAGAACTGGGCAGTATGCCCACTGTAGATTTGAGTTTCAGTTCTCAGGGCCTCTGGAGGTGAAGAGCTATTGAGGAGGTACTGTATGCATTTTTAGAAGCAAAGATACTTGATACTTTGCATGCAAATTTAGTTGACTTCATTTTCTTGGGTGTGACAGACTGAAACTGTCAACAAATCCTTGATTCTAAGTGGTGGCCATTAAATAAAAGTACGTGTAACTCAAAATGATAAAAAATAATTTCTTAAATTTAGGTGAAAGAGATAGGAAATTTTTTTAAATTTTAAACTAAATAGGGCAGCTGTTATTTTCAAATAGAAGAAAGGTAGCATGGTTCACATGCATTTGTATGGGCTGGATGAGGGGGATGGGGAAGGAAATAGCTCCTTTTATAGAAAAATTCCTAGAAGGCATTTCTGGATATGAAAAATCACCATTTCTTACTCCAGATCTTGGTCTTGAAGAAGTGGAATATATATATGTGTGTTATCCTAAAGCCACAGAGCATGCTGGAAATGTGACAAGTACTCAAGAGGCTGAAGCAGATGGATTACTGTGAATTTAAGGCCAGCCTGGAATAATTAGGGAGATCCTGTCTCAAAACATTAAAAAAAAAAGCTAAGGCCATGGATTTAGCTCAGTGGTTCCACCGCCTGCTTCGAAAGCACAAGGTCCTGAGTTCAATCCCTGGTATCAAAAAAAAAAAAAAAAGCTAAATAAAAATTTGGCAAGTCCATAGGTTATCAGAAAGGTAGTTTTGGGAGCAAGGGTGACAAGAGAATGAGTGAAGAAACTAACTTGATAACAATGAAGGGACCAGAGCTTGAGGAGGAGAGAGACAGGGAGAAATCCCTGAAGGCTGATGTGGCTGGAGAATGCTACATGATTCCCTGGATGTGGCATGCTAACAAACTCCAATGAACACTTTTTCTACAAGTTCAAAAAAAGAGTTATCCAAGTAGCAGCTTATTATTCTGAACTGTTACCCAATGTGGCTCTAGTTCCTAGCATTTCCTGCATTCTGACCCTTACCCTCACCCTTCCTCCCATTTTGTCAGCTACAGTCATTCCACAAATAAGACTGGAGCAGAGAAAAGGTAGGGGTCAGATGCTTGGCTTTGGATTTGTAAATGATTAGGTTTTCAGGCATAAACTATGATTTAAAATAATCTGTAATTAGTTCAAACCAGTTCTTTCTGCCATCACCACACCCAATTTAGACATTATTGAGACTATGAAAGGGAAGAGAAAGAAGAATCCTCATAGTATGATCAGTTAGTTCTAATTATCCAATCTTGATGGAATGAAGAGACATGTGGGAGATTGGTAAAGCACACTTCCAGGTGTGTCTCCAACGGTGTTTCCAGAAATGATTGGCATGTGGGATGGCAAACTGAGGGGCAAGACCCACCTGAAAGTGGGAGACATCACCCAGTAGGGTGGAGGCCCTGATGAAACAGAAGGAAGATGCCTACCATTTCACCCTCTTTCCCTCTCTCACTGCTCCCCAACCGCCATGATGTAAGCAACTCTCCTCTGCCATATCCTCTCTGCCATGATGGTCCACCTCACCACAGGAGCAAGGGAGTCAACTGGCAATGGACTGAAACCTCTGAAAATGTTAGCCAAAATAAATGCCTCTTCCTTTAAATTGATAGTCTCAGATATTTTGTCACAAACAATGAGCTAATGAACACACCTAATCTTTGAGAAGGAGCTCTGAGCCCTCCACACCAGAGCAGCCCCAGGGAAAGAAGAAACCATCAGTTCTCAAAGGGCCTGGGGGTTTAGAGGAGAGATCCTCTCTGCCTCCTTAGTTCTTATGTGGACCCTTTGGCTGAATCTATAAACCCAGTTAACACAAGACCTGATTAACAAGAGAAAAGCATGAAAGTCTTACTAAATTTACATGTACATGGGGATCTTCATAGAAGAGTAAAGAAGAAATGACCAAAGTGTAATACTTTCCTACATTTTAGACAAAGAACAATAAATTTGTGAAAGAATAACAGGATAAATGAATACCTGGGATAAGGTAGTTATCTTGGTTATTTTCTTGTTGCTGAGACAAAAATACCCAACACCCAAAGTTAAAAGAGGAAAAGTTTATTTTCACTCAGTTTATAAAGGTTTCAATTCACAGTCAGCTGGCGCCAAGGCCGGGCAGTATGGCAGAGGAGAAACAGTCCATGGCAGGGCAGGCAGAAAAAAAGCAGCCCACCTGCCTTCCATCTTTCCCTTTATACTCCAACCAGGTTACAGGTCTATTGATTCATGCCACCCACATCCAAGGT